CGTTTACTACTTGATACCAACACGTGCATGATGGATCCCCCGGATGGATCCTTATTTAGACAGTGAGACAGTTCTGTTACGAGAAGCAATTCAACGAATTGCCATGGCTTGTATTTGTTCTAGAACGCACTACACTCTTTCGATAACACGTGGCCCCTATTCAGCACAATATATACGTATTTTAGTTCTTCTTAACAATGACCTAGATCTAAAACTGGCCGCGGATGTAACCCCCCCCCCCCTTCGTCACAAAGAAATATTCGATAAAATTCTCTGACACAGAATGATAAACTAATTTCTTCTTGAGATATGTTCGGGGTGAAATTTCAAACATCATTTCCTGGTAACTCTCTTCTTTTTTAATGCATGCTCTATTCTTACGATTTAGGCATAATTTACTATGTTGATTTGCAATTGATAATCTCCCTGGGAGTTTTGCGATATCCCCGATGATACGGGTACAGTGTATTTAATTTTTTTCGTAACATTAGTGTTTTGCAAAGAAAGAACATTCTGAAAATGAGCGTCTTCCTTAAACGAAACATATTGATGATGTTCCCGACAAAACGGATATCATTTGCATTAACAACATGTTAATACAGATAAAACGCTTTTTAAATCCAATTCAAGGAGAAACTACGACATTCTTGATTAAGTATCATTTTCAACATCACGGATTTTAAAATACGTTCTCTAATTTTAAGAAGATTCAAAGGATCTATGTATTGAAATAACAGACTGATGATATAATTATATGATTTATAATGATCATACGACAGAACTGTTTACAAGATGCAACAAAAATTGTTTTAAAAAAAACAAGAAAATCGAAACATGCGATAACATCGCTAATAAGGAAATATAAAATTACAATTAAAGTGTCAAAACATGCACGAGGAAAACAATGTGAGAGAGTGGGGTATCAAAGTATAGAATAAATTTGTTTTTTTTCGTGAACAAATCAATTTGTATTAAAATTGATACAGTATATTGAAAACAAACATGAACAGAACAGGAGGAGATGAAAAAATGAACAATCATGCCAACGTTAACGCCTACAGAACTCCGATGTTGAGAGGAAAATAAACAAACATTGTAACCAATGTCATGTACGTAAAATAATATTAAAACAAATCAGTAGCCAAAGTAATGCTTTTCAGAGTCAAATCTCGCAAGACGAGAGCGACAAACAAGCGGGCACTACATGAATAACTAATGCGCCGGACCGGGCGCGAAAGGGCGCGAAAGCTATTCAAAGTTTAAGCTCCCATTCACAAATGTCAAGTGCTTCACCGGGGCGCGCCCCGGCGGGGTAATTTCGTAACAATGAGACTCCAAACAATAGCCAGATTTTAATGAGCTGGCAACCAACTGAAGTCCTCTCCTATCCGACGCAAAAAGGCGCTAATGGGCGCATAAAGGCGCCTCCTTTGTTCTCATATCCTGCTCTGCGCCCCGACGCGTCGCGGCACAGTCGCAACTTTGGAAGGCTCCCCTAAGCATGCTTATCAACTAGGGGACCTACGCCCTTAAGTCATTAATGACAGTTATGAGGATTAATGCTCCACAAAAGGGCACTAATATATATAGCACATCGACACGGTTTTCATCCTAGGGCCTTACAATTACGAGGCCATTGCTTTGCCACTGAACCATGAATGTACGCAGCGGGGGCTAGGGTAAGGAGCAGTTCCCACAAATAAAATTGTAAAAAAGAAAATGCAATAAATTATCAATAATTCATTGCATTTTACCCCGGTCCCCAACATAAACATATCCTCTGTACGGCCATGCATTATGGCTCAAGGCATGGGCAAACAAAATGTTTTTTTCTTTTGGGAATCGGGGAAAATTCCATGAATTATTGATAATTTATTGCATTTTCTTCGGTTTGTTTTATATTTATAAATTACAATGACGTCTTATTTTGTTTACAAGCAACGGATTCTTTTATTTTCTTATCATTGCATTTTTCATCAAATTAATACCATGCGTGGGGTTTAGAGTGAGGCAATAGATTACACATTTAGCCTAAGGGTAGTGAAGTAAGAGAAATAAATTAAGAGAAGATCATAAAACCGGCACTAAGAATGTGTGAGATATCATGGGACATCGCTGCATGTGCAAATCATGTTCAACATGTGACGTCACACATCTCACCAGCGATCGGAGTGCTTTTCAGGTGCTATGCCGGGGTATATGTAAGCGTTTTGTAATTGATAATAATCATTACTTCGAATGTTTCCAAGCATTGAATTTTGATAACCTGGTCCAATCAAAGTTTCCCCTTTTGCAATAATGACAATAAAGTTAGTTTTTAAAATCAATGAACATTCTCCAATAACAAAACTTTATCGAAAATAATATCGCTAGTGATATTCGTTTGTCTCACAATGTGGTCAATAAGGAATCTAAAAGATCACGACGTTTCGTATGCTACTGCGATACTTCGTCAGGTGATAAAAACTATTGTAAGCAAGGGTCTTTTATACTTTACGGGAGGACCGGCGGAGCGGTCTATAATTCGATCGATAATTGGAACAATAACGCCCAATGCCTATTGGTCGACGCACACGGTGATCGACCAATCACCAAGGCCGCTGGTTCGGCCGCTGGTTCGGCTGATGCACCAGGCCTATTGGCCGACGCATACGGTACTCAACCAATCAACGGGCCGCTGGCTCGGGCCGTCTGCTGAATGGAATCGACCGTTGTTGGCTGGTGGGACGGCGAGTGTCATGGCGGCGTATCGTCCGCATCCAAAATTCGGGGATATCGATCCCGTTGTCTCTGTTGAAATTATTAGGATTGAGACGGATATTGATAGCTTCTTTTACCCTCCGTGTATACCAATGCCGTTCCTGGGAAAGGCACTGAACCCCGTCCCAGTCTGGTTGATGCTGGTTATCCCAAGCATGTTCGGCTACGGCTGAGTTGTCAGTTCGACGGAGTCTGACGTCCCTCTTATGCTCAGTGATTCTTTCTTTTATCGGACGGGCAGTTTCACCGATGTAGGATCTATCACATCCTTTACAAGGGATGTTGTACACAATGCCGTCCCGTCTATGTAGAGGAATTGGATCCTTGGGGCGTGTAAGTTGTTGACGTAGGGTGGTATCTGATCTGAAAACCGTTCGAATGCCATGGCTCTCTAGGCGGCGCTTGAGTTGTTGGGAGACCCCATCAATGTACGGCAAGACTGTAAAAGTCTTGTATACCTTCTGATCCCTGGGTTCCGACGATCTATTCTTGGTATTGTGTATAAAACGGCGTGGGTAACCGTTGAGACTCAGGGCACTGCGAACACGGGTCCGTTCTTTGCATGGCTGTTGTGGACTTGTCACAATGCGTGAAGCTCTGTCAAATAGACATTTCACTAGACCTCTCTTCACCGATATGGGATGGTGAGAGTCAAACGCTATGTACTGGTCTGTGTGGGTAGGCTTCCTATAGACTGAGGTGGAGAGCCTATGGTTGTCGTGTCTATGAACTAGAGTGTCTAAGAATGCTATCTTCCCTTCACACTCTATCTCTGATGGTTGGTTCAAGGTTATTCATGTGTTTAAGCAGCTTATCTGTTTCAGAGATGGGAACTATGATGAAGGTGTCATCTACGTATCTCTTCCAAACACGAGGCAAGCAAGAGAGGGGACATGTGTCCAAAACTTTACTTCGTTTTGTGAACAACATGTAACAGGGGGAAATTTTAATACTATAATTCATTAAAAAGTACAAAAATATAGCAATCGATAAATCTATTTCATTAATGGGAAACCGTCATCCCAGAAGAGCACCAGAAGAGCCCCCCCCCCTATGTTCTCGACTGTCGAATGTCCGATGAACACAACACTGTGCGTGTTTTTAGATATTCACGTAAGCCTGGGAACAAGATGGTTTAATTCGTTTTTTTCCTAATATGCAATTTTTTGTCGTTATAGCCTAGGCCTATTTAATTATGCAAAATGCTAATTTATGCATTTTACAGAAAACTCTACATTTGTCTCTAGGCTTGTGAAGAACCTTGAAAATTGTGTATTGAATAAATGAAGTTTCATTAAGTTTAGGATTTTTGAAAATGCATAAGTTAATGTTCTTAATTTTGTTGTTTTTTAACAGTATGTTTAGCACTGTCAGCAAAGCCAAAAACATTTATTTCACCCACTTTCTCACTGTAGAATAATATTTCTCCTCTACCCATCTGCATATCACTGCTCATATCCGGAAGAAAAATCCAAATTCATCATTTTATTTTCTTATGTATTTTATTGTCTTGTATTTCTTGTTATATCTATTGTTTTAATTCTAATGTATTCTTTTGTTCTGGAATACATGAAGTTACTTTGAGAAACATATCAAAGCAATTTGATATCAATTCATATCTCCCACTTATGAAGAAATACATCTAAACCTGTATTCACATTTCTGCTTGTACATGAATATATGCAATTATAGCACTTTTTGATGACATGCGCATACTAAGTGTTATGTAACACCGGTATATCCGATTTCGACGAAAATGGTATCAAAATGTGCATAAGACTTTAGGGAGAAAAAAAAAACACGAACATTTTAAATTCCAAGCGTTTGCGGCGAAAATATTTGAAAATGTGGAGGAGGGCTCCCAGCCCCCCCCCCCAGTACAGTTAGGGTTAATGACACGCCTTTCTCCTCTCATTTCATAACCCCTCATCGAAACTTTCCGGAACCGTAATACCTATTGAAAGAATAAATAACCAATTGGATTTATGCTAATAGATATTATTGTCTTTGAGATATTGATAACTCCCTATTAGTTTTCATAAAAATCTTAGTATTCTCAATTTAGGTTTGATGAGTGTTTTGATTAAGGAATACTAATACATTTCAAAATTAATTCAGATGTTAATAATTAAACCATATACCGTACTTTAAAAAAGACGAGTTTGATGCATTAAGACCAACATTATCATCGAAATTAAGATGTGATTTATTTACAATTTTCTTCTCTTCTTTTACTATAGGATTTGGAATAGTTATGGCAGTCTTCTCCACATTGGTTACCCTCGCCAGATTTTTCCCAAAGTCCTTTATCTTCTCGAATTCTCTAACACAGTTTGGTGTCGTATGTGGTGTCTTCACAGTACCCATCATTGTCGAGAGGTCGCTTGAAGCGTATGGCTATGACGGTGCCTGTCTCATCTTAGGTGGGATCACACTTCATGCTGTGGTCTCTGCGATGATTCTTAGACCGCCAAAGGACCTCCCTTCGAGGACAGAAGAAAACACACAGCTTATGGACACACATTCATCAAGAGATAGTCACTCTACCATAGAGAACGAGAAGCATCAAGGATGTTCAAATGGGGGAACTGAATCAGATAAGGATGGCTTCTCACGCTCAAACACTGAATACATGCAGGTGGTAGTGGACTTCTTTCATTCTCTTCCCTCAGTTGGAGAGTTGTTCAAATCTTTCATTCTGGTCGAAGAGCCATTATGTACACTAGTTATGCCTGCCGTCTTTTTTGCTAAGTACGTCTTTTATGCTTGGATCTTATTCCTAGTGCCTCACGCAGAGGGTTTGGGAATAGAACCATCAAGAGCCGTACTTTTGTCTTCGATTGCAGGCATTGCTGGTACATTTGGAAGCATTGTCTTTGTGGTCCTCCTTCACTTTAACTACGACCCAACAATCATCATCATCTTCTGTTGCTTGATGTCTGCCATCTCTTTCTTCTTGGACACACTCAGTTCGAATTTCATCTTCTTAGCAATAATGGCTTGTTTTCAAGGGTTATTCCTGTTCGTGCTTCAATCTATTACATCCGTGATGGCGAAGCTAGCAGTAAGAGATGCAGATAATATACCGAGTGCACTCTCCCTCTTTCTCTTCATCGAAGCAGTTGGTATAGGAGTGGGAGATACAGTATCAGGTACATATACATAGGGGGTACTGGTATGCATAGGTTAATTATTGGTGATTAAATCTACTTATTTTAACAGGCACATCAAAGGTTTGTTCTGAAGAGAGAGAGAGAGATGGGATTCTCCTTTCCTTCTCCATAATTGTGCTTTTCCTCTATTTAAATGTCTGTCAGGGGCGAAACTTTTGTATTATTGCTTGTTGGGAAATTTGTTTTTCCCTCCTCCTCATAAACAATGTTTTATTGACGCCACTTGGTACGTGACTGTCTCATGACTAAAATAATTAATCTTAAGATCCATTGTCCATAGTTTGTGTAACACATAATAGAACTGGGTTCAATCAGGGGCGTCAAATCCTTTTTAAAATGTGGGGGGGGGGGGGCACAATGGAGTAAAATAGGAAGTGGCGCGGACAGGGGAAGTGGTGTCTGAGGGGGATGTAGGCCCCTCAGAAGTCGAAAGAAAATTGAATTTTCAAACTCATTTGGCGCGATTTGGTGCATACGTTCTAGATATATTTTATTGGAAGTCATAGACTATAGATTCCAATGGATTTTTTTTCCTGAAAGGGGAATATCTTATGTCACTATTACAAAGACTCAGAGACATATTTGCTATACAAGCTTTATTATTGTCATTATTATGTAAAATTATTCCATGGAGTATCTTGATAACAACAGTTAGTTTTAAAATCAGATACTACATGTACCTGTCTTGTTATTCATTATCACTAACATAACGTTTTGGTGCACAGTTTTGGTCGGTATATTTTAAGATATTTATTTCATCACTTTCGTCAAATATTGAGTGTCCATACATTGTGACACCTTTTAAGACAAAACAAAAAAGGCAACCTGTAAGCCATGGCTGCAATTTGTAAAAATGAAACTATATGAAATATTACATAAAGTAGAAATAACATGAATGTAAGTGAGTAATATCTCCTGATTAGTGAATCATACATTTCAGTAAATCAAAATTTTACAACTCGACGATAATCATGTTTTATATTTGAAATCTCGGAGTATGTGGTAGACAATGTTTGACCAGAGTGGCTAGGAATAATATGGTTTGACAGCTGCTGAGCACCATTTTGTAGCAAGCTCAAAACATTTGATCAGAAATAGCTCGAAAGTTGCGGGCTATACGATTCGAGTTCTAGAATATAGTTTGTCATGTTTGTTAGCAATCCTTACCATAACACCTGGTTAAATTATGTTTTGAACAAACTGAATTCAAACTGAAAGTATATTTAAATATAATCCCTTCACTAACGTATTTAACTATAAATACTGATCATCATGTAATACTAGTGATAATCGATTTATTCATAACATCTGAGATTTCTTCTAACCAGTATATTACCGACATGTTTGCTATAAAAACAAAAACACAGATAATACATCAAATAAATAAAGGCTTCTTTTAAAGTGCAACTGCTTTGACCTATGGTAGTGACAACTCGAGATATAAATGCTGAATTTTAAATCAGATCATGTATATCCTAAACTACCAATGAAAATACAATAGCAAGTACTGATTATGCATTTCAAAATGTTTTCTGTGTTATCCTTTTAATTTTTCAAATAAAATATACACAAACAAATGTCAGTGCATCACTGTATTGTTGACAGCCAAGGGTAAATAAAGGTGCATGAAAAATGAACTCACAAACAATAATCCGTGTTCATAACAAATAAATAATTACTAACTACTAAAATCTTTATAGTAAAGGCATAAGCTAGATAAGTAAAATGTGTAGCTTAAAGATAAAGTTGAGTACTGGTAAAAAAAAAGAAAATTATTTCTCACAGAATCAAACGAAACTTACACTGAATGTTCAAGATTACAAATAAATGACATGTGCCAAACAATTTTGGAAGAAAATGTATACTGGCTGAGTAATGAGCATAAAAAAAGACAAGGAATCAAGGTAGTACCAACCCCGACACCATGCGTGTTGTCCCATACATAGCTTTCTGTGTATGTGCTTGTTACTTTACCAAGACTCGGTCAAATTTATTATGATTTTGATGACTCCAGAACCTTGCAGTGCACACCAATACTTACATGCTACATGATCAACTGTTTCTGATCCTTTCCACACCTTTTCTTTCACAATGTAATCGCATTACCAGTACTAAAGTTTATCTTTAAGTAATTGCTAAAAATCACATTCATAACTTTTCACTTTAAATATGATTACACCTGTTACTTGCCGCGGCTAGCAAGTTGTCTAGTACTTACTTACAGCAGCAGCTCCTAAAACAGCGTGTTTTTTGGGTGAAAATCTGTCACATTCAGGTACTATTGTTACTCATCTAAATTTTAGGCTAAATGGGAATATAAGATTTCAAAATATTGACTTTAAAGATGTGTTAATATAATATTGAAACAACCCCATTAACCCCATTATTAAATTAACAAAATGTTGGATATACATTTGTCGGTTGTTGTTCTAAACAGATGCAAACTAAAATGGACATGCCATAACTTTAATAAAAAAGGGTAATGCGATTCACCAAACAAAGTGCATGTTATGCCTTAAGGGGTGTAAGGGGGGTAAAGACTACTTGCTTCATAAAAGTAACATATTTCATCAATGTACAGAAGTTAGACTTTAAAGTTGAAAATCTACTACTTAAATTATAAATAGATCTGCTTGTAAAAACACTAGATAACGCTGAAATATCACTTTGGTTGATACTTTGGCTTTAACATTTTACCTTTTACTTGTGAATGTAATTGAGGACAAGACAGCTTTATATATTCAAGTGAAGAAGAGATGCGGCAAGTGAAACTTTAATCGTCGACAATATATTAAGCGAAAATTGAGTTTTTTTCTTCAGTTTTCAAGGAGAGCATGCATACGATCGCATTGTTAACGGGAAGATGATATCATTCACAAGGCGCGTAAAAATCCAAATCTGACCTCGGCAGCCGTCGCATCTGTATTGCCGACTCAGCGATTGGTCGATAGTTAAAACGACGATGAGGGCTTTTGATAAAAAAAACCTGCATGGTCTAGCATAGTCATTTTAACTTGAACATTAAAATAACCGCAGGCCTGTAACTTTCTGGGGAGGCAAAGGGGGGAGGGGGGAGGCGTATCACGTTAACCATATCACTGGCCTATCATTGTTTCATATGATAATGATAAACTATAACATTCAGATTCTATTATTTTGACATGACTATGAAACTTAACTGTTCTCTTTATCTCATTTCGATCAGGGCACATATATGATGTCACATCTTCGATGCACACAGTCTTCATATCGTATGGTATTGCTCTTGTCGTTGCGATGGTCAATCTTATCATCTTTGCCATCTTGGTTTGTTACAAGGCATCAGTAAAATCTGATTCCTAGGTGAAATACGGCCTTCATCTGAAATATCCATTTTGTATGTTATCTTTACAAATATAAAATATTGCAAGCAGATATGTCACAGAAGAAATTACAAACACAAACATTACTTTCAAAGACTTGTTGCATGGCTGATCGTCAACGAAACGGAGTTAGGTCTTTTGTCAACTCCGTTTGTTGCTACGGCAGGCAGCCAGTGAAAACGAACTCGTTTAATCAAATTATGAAAATGCAAGAATTACTTTGAACTTTATTATTCCTGGCTCATTTTTACCGATTGAGGTGTCATATGAAAGGGAAGAAATTGAACTTTCTGGAAATGTGATTTTAACTTTGAAATTCAGATACTGCCCGCCAAATGATTTTTTTGTTTCCTCTCTTCAAATTGTGTTTAATCTCTTATGCGTGAAATATAAACATAATATGAGTTGCATCAAATGAAAGGGGAGGATCTAAGCTTTACAAACATGTGTCATTTATTAATTATAATGGCAATTACGTTATGATAAAACATCGATAATTCTTGGTTACGTTTTTTTCTGGGACGCATTGTATAGTGTTGATGTTCCATAATCCATAGGAATGTAGGACCGTAATCTGTCTACAATGAAAAGAAAAGAAAAATAAGAGTCATTCATAATGTATCTCACCTTCACCTAAAGTCAAATGTAGGAAGGTTTTTGAAAAAAATAGGATAAACCACTTATCACGAAGTGTTTGATATATATCTTTGATTGCTTTTAATTTAGTATTAACATAAACTGTTGAACATGTATTTATAAATCATATGATCACTTTCATAGGTTGTTTATTATGCCGTTGTGTTACCATTTCATAATTATCATGTTTTCATTCATTTAAGACGGTATATGATGTATTATAATATGCTTTATACTTTTGTGTTTTCATCTCGACATCATTTGTAGATGCATATAATATCTTTCATACTGCCATATTGAGAAAACTGCTTATATTTTAATACTTTGTTGATTCTATATCCATTTTTTTTAAATTTATGACCTGTTTGTTTATTGTATACTGTCATATCATGTTTATAGCATTATATGCAGATTTTGTTTTATTCTGCACTGTATACACAGTTTGGAGATGTGATTGTCTCCAATGACACGGGTTATAGCGCCAGCTATGGGCACAATGTATGTTGCGACCCGAGTATGATGCTATAAAGAACACCAATCTGAAATGTTTTTGAACCTCTAAATGAAAGACTTCATTTATTTCTCTTTCCCTCGAAGTGTGTTATTTATTGGAGAAAGTTACACAAAATATACATGAATATTTACCTGCCTATAAAGACTGATTTTGTTGTCTCCCTTGAGTGGCCTTTAAACACAGGTTTCACATAAATAACCTTTTTGGTATTGAAAACGATATCGCAATAGGGATATTCGTTATCAAATTATTAATGTTTTGACATTACGTGATTAATACATTCCTGTCGTTTCATAGTTGCTTGTTGTATATTTGTAATACATAACATTAAAATAAAATATTTTAAAAAACAGTCATACAATTGCGTTAACTCTTTTCAGGAGTCTTTTTTATGAAAGCTTTAAGATACAAATTAAAAAAAGGGCAGGAGAAAATTTGATCAAACAAAATTGGATAAACTACTTAAAAAAAACTAGAAATA